GGAACATCATAAGTCAACCTAACATGATATTAACCCAAAGCATAAGCAACCCAAAGCAATACTTGTATTCTGCAATGAATAGAACCCCATAACCTTATCCAAAGCTAAATATTACATTAAGTCACTTACTTCATACATATGACATAAACTCATATTTAATCATACATAATTCATAAGATTATATATAATTTGACCTATATAATATATAATCAACTTAATCATACAAGAATACTACTATGGCCATCCCTTAGGATCCTGCATTGTGAATGTGGAAGTGAAGTCCCATACCGTCCCTCACACTATGGAGTAACCTTTAAGACAAGACCGAATAAGAGTTCACATACTTAACTTGTTCATTTACTCTTACATTAGGGAAATAAGTTCAATAACCGACATGAGATCATGTGACCTACATGGAATTTGGTGTTCTACTCCCACACTGAAAAGATAGGGTTAACACTTGCCTAAGGTGTAACCTTTTGTACATAGTTATCTAGGTGGAATCCACTAAGCTAGGGTCCTATGTGGTCACATATTTAATGGCCACTGGATCCTTTGTGCATGTTCCTGCGGGAAAGGCTATGCTAGGGCATGTGGTCGATGGCTTGGGAGTACCTATTGATGGAAGGGGGGCTCTAAGCGATCACGAGCGAAGACGAGGAGATTGTTACTATAAACCTTGACTTTCTAGACATGGAGGTTTCCATCTCATGCTATACCACATCTCTTGGGAATCCAAACTTACTAAACATGAGGAAACCTCTGTAGGGAACCATTCTTACTAAATGTGAGACCCCATCTTATTTACATGACCTTTTGGTGCTAATCATTTATTCCCTTTAGTAATCATCATACTCATCATACAAGTTCAGATTAGTCTCTTTTAGACTCCTATGTAAACATCTCATCATAATAGCACATAGGTATTAATAAGTGAGAACTATCCTTTCACCTTAGGAACCACATACAAGTGAGTAAACCTTTCTCTAAACACTTTATTATAATCATTAAGAATTACTTTCAATCAAATTATAATAATATCATAACATGCATACATACTTCATAGATAATTCAAGTGTCTAGGGTTAAGGATGAAGAATGCTTATCATCAACATCACAACAACACATTATACATAAGAGCATTACTTTTAAGCAATTCATCTTTCATAATTAAGTTCAAGAAGAACCAACCTTCATACCTTATTGACGTTTCATGGACCCATACTTCCATTACAAAGAATACAAAATCAATACATAAACAAGGTATATACAACAAGCAATTGCATAATTAATGTCAAAATGTAATCAATCAACATATTCATCCTCTTCACAATTCACCCTATCAATTCAAGGTTTTTATGAAATTGAGGAATTACATGTGTCCATGGGAAACTGGGTGAATAAAAAAGAATTAACCATCAATGTATACTTAACCAACATTAATTCATCATAACCCATCACAATTGGTTCGTAATTTAACCTTTCAAAGAAGACCCATGTATAGAGGAAAACCCTTGTTGTAAGGGATTTAGAAATCAATATTTTGGAGGAACCTCTTGGGGAAAGGAATCTAAGAGTGAAAAAAACCATACCTTAAAGATGAATAACCATGAGATTTGAGTAGAAATTTTGATATTTGAGTCTTCTTCTTGAACTTCAAAGTGTCTTCAATGGAGGATGAGGTGGAGAGAAAATGTATAGAGAAGTGGGAGGAATTGGGTTTCACTTTATGTTTGAGGTTTGAAGTGGGAAATAAGTGATAAAAGACCCAAAACCAATATATAGTCAAACCCAAAAATACCCAAATACCCCTCATTAAGTTGGACTTCCAAAAGTGAAGTCCAACTTGACTTTGGCTGTGAAAGCCCGCCCTCCTTCATGCCCCACTTCATGAGCCGTGAAGTTCTTGACAGCCCGTCGTGGTAGTCATGGAGGATGAGGCAGTAGCTCCTGCAACATACTATCCTAAGAATTTTCTAAGTGAAATTCATGACCCATCCCCCTTCCGTGAACATGCACCACAGACCGTCAAGTGGCTCATTGTGCTCTAAGCAGTTGATCATAAAAAACTACCCCTTCCCTAAAGAGCCCAAGGCAAGTCCACGAACCATCAAGTGCACCACAAGTCGTGAAGAGGCTCATGGTGCCTTGGAAAGTAGCTAGTCCATGATGTCCTCCCTCATTTATGGCCACAATATTTTCACGAGCTCTCCACCTGGACATGGTCATGACCACGGCCGTGGTCATGCTCGTTAAGGGTGAGGCAGTTGCCTCCCTTTTTGGGGCACCATTGGCCTTTGGCCTTGGCTTGCTCCTCAAGGTTGGGTACCCCTCCCTTGGACTTGATCCTTAGACACCGGGTCGCCAATACATATCTTGACCATAGAGACATGAAATACGAGATGAACTAGAGCTAGTTCACTTGGTAGGTCCAACTCATAAGCCACCTTCCCAACTCGTTCCAATATCTCGTAACGACCCACATATCGGGGGACTAAGCTTCACCTTTTTGCCAAATCTCATCACCCCTCTCATGGGTGAAATCTTCAAGTAGACTCTATCACCTACTTCAAATACAAGGTCTTTTCTTTGATTGTTGGCATAATATTTTTGCTAACTATAGATTGTTTTTAACTCATCCATTATCATCCGAACCTTCTATAATGCCTCATAGATTATATTAGGACCAAGGAGTGAAGACTCACCAAACTTAAACCACCCAACCGGCGACCTACATCTCCTACAATAGAGTGCTTCTAAAGGTGCCATATAAATACTCGAATAGCAGCTATTATTAGACAAGAACTCAATCAACGATAGGTGATCATCCCAATTACCTTTGAAGTCTATTACACAAGCTCTTAACATATGTTCTAGGGTATGAATGGTACGCTCTGAGATTCTATTCGATATGATTGACAAAGGGGTCCCATGTAAGCTCACAATCTCATTAATGTACATTCTTGCATAATCCTCTGCCAAATAAGTAGACTCGACGGGGATAAAGTGAGCTGATTTGGTAAATCTATCCATAATATCCCAAAATGAGTCATTTTCCCTCCTTGTTCGAGGCAACCCAACAACAAAGTCCATATTAATTTCTTCCTACTTCCTAGTAGAAACATCCATTACTTGGGTTAGACCTCCTGGCTTTGATGCTCGGCTTTAACTCGTTGGCAATTTGGACACCTAGTCACAAACTCTGGTATGTCGCTTTTTAAACCATCCCACCAATAGACCTCTTGGAGATCACGATACATTTTGGTGGCACCTGGATGAATTGAATATTGGGAGACATGAGCTTCTTCCAAAATTTCCCCCATCAAATTATCAACATCCGATACACACAATCTACCTTGGTACCTAAGCATACCATCCCCCTTGGGGGAATGGATCATTAAACTTAGTAAGTACTGATTTTTTCAACTCCATCAATAGAGGATCAAGATGTTGTTTAGACTTACCCAAACCACTAAAGATGATTCGGAGTTATAATGAACCATAACACCGCATTTCGGAGAATCTTCTAACCGAACACCCAACCAGGCCAATCTATGAACATCCTTCACTAGGGATATCTTACCTTCCTCTACATGAGACACACTACCTATGATCATACGACTTAAAATGTCCACAACCATATTGTCCTTGCCGGGGTGGTATAGAACACTCATGTCGTAATCCTTCAAGAGTTCCAACCATATTCTTTGTTGGAGATTCAACTCTTTTTGAGTGAACACATATTGAAGGCTTTTGTAGTCGGTAAATACATCCACATGGACACCATAAAGATAATGCCTCTATATTTTAAAGGCAAACACTACAACTTCTTATTCAAGGTCATAAGTTGGATAATTCTTCTCGTTCACCTTGAGTTGTCTAGAGGCATAAGCTATCACCTTACCATGTTGCATGAGGAAACAAACTAAACCCACTCGAAAAGCGTCACAATACACTACAAACCCTTTGCTACCCACCAGTAAGGTCAACACTAGAGTGGAGGTATGCTTATCTTTCAACTCTTTGAAACTTCTTTTACAAGCTTTTGACCACTCAAACATAACTTTCTTTTCGGTCAAGGATGTCAAAGGAGACACAATAGATGCAAAACCATCAACAAACCTCCTAATACCTGTCTAAACCCAAGAAACTTCGAATATTGGTTGGAGTAAAAGGTCTAAGCAATTCTTCATCGCTTTCGTTTTCTTTGCATCGACCTATATACCCTCACTTGACACAATGTTACCTAGAAGCAATCGATCTCAGCAGAAATCGTCAAGAGCAGGGAGACCCCCCTAGAAGTAACACGATGTATTTGACCTCTCGGAGGTTTGTACAAGCCCTTATCCATCTTTCATTGCATAATCGTCATAAAATTAGCGGAAAATTAAAAAAATTTCATAGCACATAATATGCTAGAATATCACTTCATATATATATATATATATATATATATATATAAAATATCATAATACATAATTAGACTCTAAGTCTCTTTGCCATCTTAAGATACAACTCAATAGAATAGAATAGAATAGGGACAAGACCCTTACAACATAAAATATACGTCTAAGCTATTACATAAACTCAAAGAACATCTTGAAATAGGCAATCCTTGAAACATAAGGGTCCCTTTACTTAAGCTTGAGAGATATATCCAAGCCTTTCACTTAGGAGACACTATACCATTTTAGGCCTAAGGTAACACTAAATCTGGACTACACCTGTAAAGTGTTGCCTAAAAAATATTTGGGTACGCTTTTAAAACATGCTCTTTAGTGGTATAGACTACACTTATAAGCATTGTCATATCATGATATAATTGGTAACACTTATTTAGACATATGTCTATAATTTTAAAGTGTGCTATTTTTATAATTATATAAACGAACACTTTATAAGTGTAGCCTTGTACTTTCTTTTATTTTAAAAAATATCTCTAAAATATAGTACTCCCTCCATTTTCTTATTGGCCAAAAAGAATATTCATAAATAAATAAAAAAGTTCTGGCTGAGAGTTTTGCCCCAAATAAAAAATAACAGCTGATCAACGAATTGACTGAGACACTATATTGAAGAACACATTTTCCCTAGATTTCGAAGAGAGAAAGAACGGAAGAAGCAATAATCGATGTAATCAAATCTCAACAAATATCTTCGAGGTCGATTGGGAAGGTCATAGTTCACTCACTTGTGCTTTTGAGCATCGTAGACCACTATAATAGAGTCGCAAAAGACAGAAGAATGTTGTTGCGATTTTGCTTTGAACTTCATTTAAAGGTACTGTTGATGTTACTGATAGCTATGAATGTATCATTGTTGCAAACCCTTTTAAGATCTGTTCAAATTTTTGCTTCATGGTATTTTTTATTTTTTTGATTGAATATGTAGTTTGTTAGGGTTTTTAGGAGGTGAATTTATTATTTGAAAAGTGAACTAGAATCTAATGGAAGGTAAGAAACATTTTCTATGAGCTAAATTTGAGACGGGAACTAGGAATAAGTATCTAATGTAATGGGAAATTGTAAAATAGCAGTTAGTTTGCCTTTATTTATGGAATTAATCGGGTTGCTTTAGTTGTTATTGTTCTTGCATTTTTGACGAGTTTTAAGTATGTTAAGTTTTATGAGCTAAATTTAAGATTAGAACTAAGTATAGGAATGTAATGTGCTGGGAATCCTCACATTGTAGTCAAGTAGTCTTTATTTATGGTTTAGTTGGGTTGCTTTTGTTCTTGCATTTTGATGGAATTAAAAGTTACTTAGGTTTTATATGAGCTAAATTTTTATATTATACCTAGGAATAGGTATCAAATGTGCTGGAAAATATTTTAAAACAACATTCACTTTGCCTTTATTTACAGGGATTAATTGGGTTGGTTTTGTTCTTTCCTTTGTATTTGAATGCAATTAACATGAAGATCGCATAGGTGTCTTTCAACTAGTTTGAGTTTTAGTGTAATTGATTACTATGGTCTTTTTGTTTTCCAATTGAAGTAAAGTTAGTTGGGTTTAATCTGAGCAAATTTATAGAAAGAAAATGGGTAAAGTTATCTGCTTGAAATAAGGTAATTGGTGAACATCTTACCTCAAAGTAGGTATAAATTTATGTTTTTTGAATTTTGTTAGGTCTTTGAAGCAGCTATTGCAGCCAGGGCGAAAGAAGTAGCAGTCTTTGCATCAACTTCGGAGTCTTTCACAAAGTCAAAAATTAATTGCACCAATAAGGAGAGCCTTGTTAGATATCAAGTTGTTACATCTGCTGCCAAGAAGCTTGAAATACCTATTCGCAAGTAATGAAAGATCTTATACTTGAGTACAAGGATAAGTTAGTTCTATTTTTTCTCAAGTACTGAAGTAGGTTCTGCAAATTGGACATGCATTTTGTGTTGGCATATTTTTATATTGAATGAATAGCTGTTTGTGTTGTGTTATCACTGCGAGTTTGAATCATTGTCTTCTGACAATTATTTTGAAGTCAGTAAGCTAATAAAACATGGTTCTCTAACTTTGATTTGCTTAATCAAATAAAGACATGATGATGACTTCAATATTATATTTAAGGGAAAAAAAGATTAGAAATTTTAGTTTAGTTTTTTTCGGATTTGATGTTGCAGCTTGTAACATCTATCTTTTACCAATATATACGGTACAATGTTAAATAAAATCTTTCAATGCTCAGCAGATATGTATCCTGTGCTATTGGGTGCCCAGTTAAAGGAGTGATTTCACCTTCAAAAGTGGCATATGTAGCAAAGGAGCTTCATGACATGGTATGTTTCAAAATTTCCCTTGGAGACGTAATAGGAAACGCTACTCCTGGTAATATTCTAAAAATTCTGTTTTCTTGATTTCCTATGATTGTTTAGTTCATGGTAGGTTCTATGATTACCCCAAAGTGTCGCGTTTTCGTAAATTTTCACAAATATCAATGTCATCTTCCCCTGCCCCTGCTCCTTCTCCTGCTCTTGCTTCTACCCCTTCCCCTACACCTAAGGGTGATCCAGAAAATGACAATGTGAAGAGTATAAAAGTTTTATGGCTCTCTTACTGCTCGTGCTCCTTCAATTTTTTTTATATCTTCACTATAGATGAATTTTGGTTCTCAGAATATTATGGATAATTATAGGCGATTTGTTTTTAACATTAAGAAATAAGGCAACATTCTACTTGTTTTTCTTAAATCTTCAGGATTGATGAACTCCTATTCTCTAAAGATTTTAAAGTATTACCGTAATCTTTGTTGTTCCTCTGCACTTGCTTATGACGTTAGTAATAATCAGTTAAAAAAACTGGAGTATCATTTTGTGTCGAGTTTTTTATTGAAGTGTGGCTCCCTATTCAGTCTTAGAGGTTGTTTTGAATGAAAGTAGCATAGTAAGTGAATGAGATGGATTAATTGGTTTCGTGCAATTTCAAATTTCACCTTCTGATTCCAGCACTATGAAGGGCCTTTTTCCTGTGATTGATTAATTTTGACTGATGATATATGTGTATTTTAATTTTTCCATTGTCATTTTTTTCTCTACTATTGGATGCTACTTGCACATGTTCTGGGAAGTGGGAGGGTTTTTCAAATTCTTTTATTTTGTAGCATGTTTACTCTGGCTTAACCTCACACCACCATGGAGAGGGGTACATGATCAATGACTTGTAAATTTTCTTTCATGTTGCTGAACTTTTCTTCAAGTCGTTCTTAGTTTGTACATCTTTTGTATGCAGAATCAAAGGCTCTTACTATTGATGATTTATGCCTTTTCCTTCAGGGCTTCTGTTGGCTTTCTTACAAAATATCTCTTTGAGATCTATCAAAAGTAAGACTCAAAAGATGCTAAACAATGTTCAGATAACTTATCTTAACGTTTTATATGGTTGCTTTTACTGCTATCTTTTCATATCATATTTTTAGGAAACTGATTTTTGTAGTCTTTAATTGTGTTCAAAGAAAGGTATTTTGCTGATTAGTATGTTTACTTGTGGATCTGATAGCTAGGTTAAAACAAGCATATATCATGGAGTACAAGGATGCTTGGGTCGAGAACGTATTATGTTATTCAGCTTCTAGAGCAAGAGTTTGAACTGAAATGATTATCCTTGACTTGAGAAAAATACTATATCGAGTTGCCTCAAAATCAGAGTGACTTTATTTTTCTTTCAGGGGAACTTGACATGCTAGCCTTGCTAACAATTTAATGCTTATTGACATATTGTGAAGGAGGAGATGTGTGAGTGGTTATCCTATCCTTTCTAGCATTTCTATACTTGTTGACATGAATTTTTCGTTTCTCCCAAAAGATGATCAAAACATATTTGTAGACTGAACTACCTATGATTCTTTTTGCATGAATAATATTTAGACATCTTTTCCTAAATTACGAGATTGAAAGCTATAAGATTATGAGAATGTTTTATGGTGTAATATGAAGATAATGACTTTTGTTTTGGTTATCAGGAAAATGAGCACAAGGAAATCTAGAGGAGCTCTGTTACCAGAAGAGGTAGTTCAGATACAACTTCCATTATAATGGGTTCTCGTACTAGAGTGGTTCACGTAAACTTTATGTGTTCACCATCTTTTTCCTCTACAGAAACTCAGCATATGACTGATCAACTATTACTCGCAGTAGAATATTTGCACTTTAACCGTGTTCTACACAGAGACGTGAAGGTATAAACAGGCAGTGATTTATTATTGAGTTATCCTTGTATGACATGTTTTAATATGAAGTACTTTGATTTATTAATGAGCTTTCCTTGTATGAAGATGATAATGTGAAATGAGCCTAAATGAAGAAGTGGGGGTTCATATAGTCGACGGTAACTTGTTCAGCGTAGTAGTTGCTATTGTTTTTTTGTTTAAGAAAGTATTAGTAAGCTCTGTCTCGTTCCCTCTTATGTTGCACTGTCACAAAATTTTAATCCAGCAGACACAACTGTAAGTGGCTATGTCTTCAGTCGTAACTGCTTACTGATATTTGATTTTTCAATTCATCTAGGTTACAGTGAGTTTATCAAACATACACCCCATAGATGAAAATGCTCATGCTGTTGGATTTGATGACATTACCAAATTAACATATTTGCATGAGCCTGGCATCTTGCTGAATTTGGCTTCAAGATATCAAATCAACGAAATCTATGTAGGTTTATGGTCATATTTCTGTAGATAAGTGAGAGGAAGAAATGAATGATTGTATCTATGTGCGGTTCAATCATAATGTGACATTATGACACACTTATACTAAAAGTATTATCATTGCCATCAATCCATTCCAAAAGTTTCCTCGTCAATATGATCGCAACATGATGGAACAATTCAAGGGGGAGCACCGCTTGGCGAATTAATATCTCATGTTTTCTCTATTGCTGATGCTGCTTACAGGTACTCCTGTTTCAAATTCCATTCCCCATGATTTATCCCCAAACAATTTACAATTGGCACTAAGATTATAAGTTGAATAAGGAAGATGATAAATGAAGGTAAAAGCAATTTAATATTGGTCAGCGGTGAAAGTAGAGCTGGTAAAACTGAAACTGCTAAAATGCTTATGTAATACCTTACTTATTTGGGTGGACATAGAAGCAATGATGTTCGAACTTTTGAGCAGCAAGTTCTAGAGGTAAACTGTATGATCTTGATGAGTCTAGCTTTTTTGAACTCTTTTTCCTCTATAACTTAAAAGGGTAGGTAAGACATTGGCAAATTTTTCCTTTGAGGCTAGGTCTACATAACTTACATTATTTTTACATACTGAAGCTTTTTGGAACAAATGTTGCATTTGCTACAGTATTTTCTACATGCTGAACATCTGAAGTACATGACATGAGATTTTCTGAAGGGCATTCAAAAGAGATCATTCTTGGTTCTAATGAACTCACCAGCATTTTGCTATGTTACAGATTTATTAAAATCTTGTGAATGGGTCACTATGCTCTATGCTAATATATCATTGTACTTTCTTTCTTATTTATTTGAATATAATAATCTTGAAATAACCGATTTCATATTTAATAAGTATAAATCAGTAGGGAGGAGGGAGCTTCAAGCTTAAGGGTCATCACTCATTTTCTTATGTCTTCTTATTGGTTTTGTTATTAATTTAACTTTGTTTCATCTCCAGTCAAATCCAGTACTTGAAGCATTTGGGAATGCCAAAACATTTAGAAATAACAAATCAAGGTGAGATATTGTTCCACTCATGCATCCAATTAAGAAGTGTATCATTTGTTGTTTTGGGCTACAATTTTTCTTAAATGTTTATACTTATGTTGTTACAGCCATTTTGGTAAATTTATGGAAATTTCTTTTGCCAAAAATTGAAGAATGTCTGGTGCAGCTACTAGAACTTACCTCTTAGAAAGGTCTCGAGTTTGCCAAGTTTCAGATCCGGAATGCAACTATCATTGTTTCTCCCTTCTATGTGCAGCACCCAAGGAGGTAATTGTATTTCAAAGCTTCTCTCCTTTTTTTATAATTTTCAGCTCTTACTGTATACTTATTTTATAGTTTTGATGTCCCTCTTAACAGTTTTTTAATCTTAGAAGGAGGTTTAAAAGTATAGAGCGAGTTTCTTTGAACTAGTAGGTATTAGTATTGCTCAAGATTATCTGGAAACAATGAGGGCCATGGATGTTGTTGGCTTTAGTGAGAAAGAGCAGGTAATGGCCCTAGTTCCTTTAGTTTGTGCTGCAGATTTTATTTTGATTAAGAGTCTAAGAAGTCACTCGTTTCTTTTTCAAGAAGCAATTTTTAGAGTAGTGGCTTCCGCTCTAAATCTTGGTAATCTTCAGTTCACAGGGGGCAAAGAAACTGATTCATCAATGCTAAGAGATGACAAGTCTAAATTACATCTTCAGAATATTGCAGAGCTTTCGATGTATGTTCTTGGCTTTCAAATTTTACTTCTCTTAATTTTTTCTTTGTTGATGAGAGTTTGATGTGATTCATTCGTTATATCAGGTGTGATCTTAAGGATTTTGAAGATGCACTATCAAAATGTGTAATGGTCACAACTGAAGAAGTAATAAACAGAATCTTGATCATGATGCTTCAACATATGTATAAATGGGCTTTCTAAAACATTATATTCTTGCTTGTTTGACTGGTAAGAATCTATTGTCTCAACCAGCTTGTTTGATGTGGTTTTGGTACAGATTATTTGACACTAGATGCACAGCTTTCAATTATTTATAGTTTGGTGGACAAAATAAATAACTCAATTGGTCAAGGTCCGAGCTCAAAGTCTCTTATTGGTGTTATTAACATTTATGATTTTTGAAGTTTTAAAACTAACAGATAGGAGTCAAATAATTGGAGGACACACATGATCTTGTTGAATATTGTGTTTCGACATTTGACTCTTTTGACTTTTTGTGTACCAGATTTTAACAATGCTCCATTAATTACACAAATGAGAAGCTGCAACAACACTTTAACCAGGTATTTGCAGTTGAAACTTTATAGATTTTTCGTCCATATCTTCTAAGAAAAAACTGAACTAGCAGACGTTCAAGATTGAGAAGGAGGATTAACTAGAGAAGAGATAGATGGAGCTACATTGAATTTACTTTTGAATGTGTAGGAAAATGCCGCTTATTGAACTTTATGAATAGAGGACAGAAGTAAACTCGATTTGTAGTGAATGATGAAGAGTTTTCATACGATTATCATAAATGTTGTTTGAACACATTTGGTTTTGTGGAATTTGTTGCTATTACACATCTTCAAGTAATTGCTTTCTATATATGTATACATGGGACATATTTTCCAAGTTTATTTACTTTGATATATATATACTTTCAAATTATTTATAAGCTAATTTTGTACTTTATATCACTTATATATATCACTTATATATATATATATATATATATATATATATATATATATATATATTGTATAGTATGTGTGGCTGAATAGTCGTTACAACTACACAACATAACAACACTACGAAAAAGTGTCTTATACCTGTTTGGCTACGCTTTTTAAGTGTTGTTGTAGGTGAGATATAAAAAGTTACACTTTTAAAGTGTAACCAATAACAACACAACGGTTACACTTTTAAGTGTAGTATAATTTGATAAAAGTGTTGCTAATGAAGTACTCAAAAGTATGGCCTTTATACTCTTTGGCCATGCTTTTTAAGTGTCGCTGATTTGGCAACACTTCAAAAGTGTTGTCTAACGTCAAAGGTCACGCCTTTTTAGGCTACCCCTTAAGAAGTGTTGCCTTAAGTCATAAAGTGTGGCCTTTTATTAAAGACCATACTTTTTTGCTAGTTTAGGCTACACATTAATAGGGTTGCCGTAGGCCTAAAATGATGTAGTGAGACATCCTCTAGCCATCAACACTTAAATTTTATGTAAAAAGATGAAGAATAATGGTATTAGAACAAGAATTCCCTAAGTATGACAACCATGCGAAAACATGCATTTAAAGAGGACAGTTCATTTAAAATAATGCAACATGTCATTTTAGTAAACTTCATGAACATAAGCACATACAAACAAAATATAGTTCACATGCATCATATAGACATGGATACTACTCATAATAGCACATAAAATCATTTATCATACTTCGAGGCATATTCAATACATAAAATACATTGCCTCTCTTTTATCTTACTTCTTTCCTTAAGTAACCCTCAAGTGTACTAAGTATAATTTATCACCTTGAGGTCACCTTACAACAGTCTATCATAGATATGCTTAATAAATATAACCTCATATATTCACATGTCATAAGAACATCATAAACATAAGCTTCACACAAGCACCACAATCTAAGACAACACCTTACTAACACTACTGCAATGTGTTTTTAGCATCCCATAATACTACTTCCACAACTCACCCTAGACTAGACATAACGTACTCCACAAGTCATACCACCTTTTCATTTATAACTATACATAAGGACACATACTTCGTAACTCATATAAGGACTCACTCCTTTACTATAACCTTAGTCACAACTCATTTAGTTCATATCATAAGTAAATCCCCCTCACAACTCCTTCACAAGCTTACTTGTTCAATGTACGCATAGAGTTCCATACCCCCACGATACTAAGTAAACCCGATTAGAATCTACAAGTGCAATTCATACACATAAATATAGTTCATGTCTTGACATAGCAAAGTCACTTAACATTCATTCATACAATTCATACATATCATAACATAAGTCTTCATATCATAAAATTACTAATCTATCCTTTCTTGAAGATCACTTGTGCAATGCATGGGTAGGGTCCATAGTCCAACCTGTAGTAAGTAACTTCTCAAGGAGTTATGATTAGAGTCCATAATCTTATCTTAGTTCATTTCTTACTTTGGGATACATGGCCATAACCGACATAGACCACGTGAGCTACATGGAAGCCGATATTCTCCTCCCACACCGAAAAGAGAGGGTTAACACTTGCCTAAGGTGTAACAAATGATACACAACTATCTAGGTGGAATCCTCAAGCTATAACCTACGGGGGCACGTAGTTATGGAACATGGAGATTGCTTCTAGAAACATGGACTTTAAAGAGAGTGGAGATTTCCATTTATGAGACGATGTCTATGTTGGGAACCCAGACTTGCTAAACGTGAAGGTTCTCTTGTGGGAAGCTGGACTTACCAACGTGAAGCCCCCATTCTCATTTGTCATGTTCACTCGGTGCTAGGCTCTACATCCTATTTTAGATATATTTAAGTCTTGAATGCATTAGTTCATAAAGAAGTCTTTAGGATCTTGCTCCTTCATACATCATATTGCTCAAAGGATTCTAAGATGATAATTTCCTTTCATCATAGACCATACTTCATGTGAGAATGTCCTTTCACATATTCATACAATCATACATCATGTGTGTGTGCGCATATGATGTGAGATCTACCTTCACATAAAACACCTCTAATCACATATGTTCATGACTTCATCAATCATATACTTCACATGCATTGAAATAGGTGATGACACATACGAGAATTACACATTCCTTAGTCATCATGAATCTACCATATTCATAGTCATGCATGAAGTGTGTGTACATTGGTAAACCTGATTCACATAATGGCTATAACGTAACATTGAGGAAGCCACCCTCTAAGAATCAGAACACATGTACAACATTCGTCAAATCTCAAGTTATACACACATATTAAGTATTAAGCAATATAGACGACACAAACTCACATTACCTCAGGAGGCAAGAACATATTTAATCATTATTAAAGACTCCTTACATACTTTGATCACACATTCATCTAGGATTCATATAGGTAGGGTCATGCTATAATAGTATTCATCATAATAGCCATCTTGACCACACCTAACCCTAACATGATCATCACATATACACAACATCATCCACACACCTAAATCAAGCAACTAGTGTGGAAGACTACTTATATAATCTACATAAGATCAATTCACTTAAAACATGATACTATAATTAAGGCTACATTTTTTAACATCCTGAACATGGAAATCATCATATCAATTCATCTTACATCTAGTGCCTAAAAAGCCATGAACATCACATATAAGGATATACAAGAATATAAACACCGCCACCATGAGTGGACCATACCAATAATCACAATTCAATATACATTCTAAGCTAATTATAAGAAATAGGCCAACTTACCAAATTCCTATGCTAATGATCATCTTGATCAATTCCCAACAATTCATAGTGAATCTACATAAAGGAATATAGAACTAAACAATTCATTATAATCTAAACATACTTTGATCATCATATCATCAAGATCACAAGAATCACATTTAGGCCAGTTTGAGAAATTAGGAGGATTATGGGATTTTCATAAAATTGGATTGAAATTCTTAATTAAAACAATAATTAAACATAAATCCATCATTATAATGACTTTGAAGTCAATTTGACAATGAACCCATGGCTAGATTGGAAATTAGGAATTTTGGTCTTTGAGTCACTTTTAAAAATCAATGATTGAACTCCTTATATGGAATATTAACTAAGGATCAAAGATAACTATACCTTATTGATTGAAAACCCATGAAAAATTTGATAAGAAACCATAGAACTCCATCCCCTAGCTTTTGATCTTGAGTTATTGTCTCCTATGGAGGTTAGGGAAGATTTGGAAGAGGAGAATTTAAGGGTTTTGATTTTCTTATTGGTTGTTGGGGTTCTGACTTGGGAAAGGGTTAAATAGGTCTTAAAAACAGTTTATAACCGTCAACAAAATTATCCAAAACACCCCTATACTTAATTGCACTTTTATACATGTCAAACGTAACTTTCATTTTCGGAATCTTCATCGGCTCGAAGATGTTCCCACATAGATTATGGAATTAATTCTGGATATAGTTGTTCATCTTACACGTCCTCAACGTTGAGCAACATTTGGAGCTTGAATACCCTTGTCCATGAAGCGGACCTATTTCACCTATGAGCAAAGTGTTGTTGCCTTGGGCAGCTTGTTGGCCTAAGGATGGGTCCTCCTCAAGGACCCCTAGGTCGGTCCTTGGGGAGTCGTTACCAGATGTTTGACCATGAACATGTTTATTGCAACACTAGGGTCACCTCTACTATTTTTTAGACTCCAAAAAACACATACAAACAAGGCAAACATACTAGGACACACTAGCACGTCTCAAGACTAACTTTCTAACGTGTTAGTCGTTCTTGGACGTTTGACTTCCAAACCACTTCAAATCAATCATACCTACTGTAGAACATTTAATTTACACATGATTAACCTTTTCATGAACATGTGAGACTCCAGACACCTTAGTTCATTTTGAGAGTCTTGACAAAAATTCACACCTACTATATTTAGCGCAGAATTTGTGTTCCTTAAAGACTTGTAATACTACCCCCAAATGGTCCATATTTGCATCCCCGGTCCTAGAATATAATGAGATATTATTAATGAATACAATTACAAAAGAGTCAAGGTAAACTTGGAACACTATATTCATAAGGTCCATGAATGCTTCTAGGGAACTAGTTAGACCAAAAGACATAACTAGGAACTCATAATGACCGTACCTAGTTTGGAAAGCCATTTTAGGTATGTTTTCACCTCTCACCCTAAGTTAGTGATACCCAGACATCAAATCAATTTTTAAAAATTAGCTTGCCCCTTGGAGTTGATCAAAGAATTTGTCAATCCTAGGGAGTGGATACTTATTCTTTATGGTAACCTTATTTAGTTGACGGTAATCAATGCACATCCTGAGGGATCCACTCTTCTTCTTTACAAATAACACTGGAACGCCCCAAGGGAAAATATTTTATTTTATAAATCCTTTGTCTATTAAATCTTTGAGTTGAAGCTTTAGTTCTTACAACTCGACCGGAGCATTCCGGTATGTAGGGATTGAGATAAGTTTTGTATCCGTCAACAAGTCTATGCCGAAATCTATTTCCCATTTGGGAGGAATCTTGGGA